TTTGGTTTAGCAAATCCTTGAGGTACCTGCATATAGACTTCCTCTTCTAAGTGTGCATGTAAAAAGGCGTTATTCATGTCCAACTGGTGAAGATTGCACTCAAATTTCACGGCCAATGCCAACAAGACTCGCACCATGAAAACTTTGGCTACTGGTGCGAACGTGTTGTGGAAATCTACACCCTTAAGCTATTTGAATTCTTTGGAAACCAATCGCGCTTTATAGTGTTCAACGGAACCATCCAGTTTATATTTCTCCTTGAAGACCCATTTTGCACCTACCGCCTTCATCCCTGCTGGTAAGAACTCTAAGGCCCATGTTCCATTGGCTTCCAATGCTCTTATTTCCCTATGCATGGATTCACGCCTGCATGCTTCTCTCACAACCTTTGTGAAAGTCTTGGGCTCCGTAATCTTGGTGATGGCTACAAGGTACACCCGGTGCATCATCGAGAACCCCTCGTAGCTAACATGACTAGACATGGTGTACGTTGTTGTTGCCACTTTGCTTGAATGGCCCGGAAGCTCTACATCGTACACGTCAACAAGACAATGTGGAAAGCTTCGACTTCTAGTTCCTCTCCACAAAGGAGGCTCCTGAGTACGTGAGCTCTCCTCCATTTGCAGTGCCTCATTATTCACCTCACTTCTTATGCTAGCATCACCATTACGTGGAGAGGTATTGTCCTCATACAATCCATGCATGCTTATATCTCCCAAGTGGTTTTGTAGCTCGACCAACTCATCATCAATGTCATCATGGTTGGCATGAATAAGTCGAGTTGCCGCTGAGTCATCTAAATCTTCAATGGGTAGTTGCAAGCTTTGACATGAAGATTTATCAGCTACTGGCACCGCCTGGTCTTTGAAGGGGAATACGGTTTCATCAAAATGGACATCTCTTGACAAATAAATTCATTGAGAATGAATATCATATACTTGAAATCCCCTGTGAGAAGCTGGGAACCCGGCAAATACGCATGGTCTCCCCCTCTCTCGGCAAACTTGTCCATACCATGTTGGGTATCCTTTTGCATAAACTAGATAACCAAAGCTCCGGATGTGAGTATAAGAAGGAGGACTTCCAAGCAACACTACATAAGGTGTCTTGTTCCCTAGGTAATTATCGTAAACGGTTACACAACTTATCACTTAGTACTAAATGGTCACTAAAGTTTAATTTTGCATATTTCAATAAAACATGTTTGGACAAATAACAAAACGATCATTTTGTCTATCTCCATCCAAAAATCCATTACATCTTTACTATCAGCATGCCATGTCATATAAATATTAATAAAAAAATTAATAAACCAATTAAATTAATCCCAATCGAACTGACTCAATCCACCAATCAGATTTTTCGATATGGTCGGTTTCCATGGCGGCGGTCAATATAGTGATTCTCACCAGCGGAGGTATCCCGTCTGTTCGGCGAGTGAGGACTTCGAATAACTTCAGTCACTGGACGCCGTGGGGAACTCCTAGGCAGTGGTTGGCGCTTCCAGTGAGGAAGGAGAGCTCGTGGGGACATAGAGTAGGTGTTGGACATGGGAGAAGTTACTGGCGGTGACGGTGACGACACAAGGATTCCACAGCTTCTCTGTCCATCTTCCTTACTTGTTTCTCCCTTCCTTCCTATTACTCTCGCTCCCCTGGCTCTGATTCCCGCCTTTCTTCCCTCTACTCGCCCTCCTCACTCCGCAGCCGCCGACGGCTGCTGGGGCGGAGAAATCGATATATTGATCGTAAAAAAAGCTCTGATATAAAATTTATTTTGTTTCATTTTCAATTCTTATTTTCTTATATTAACTCGTTGTTGACAAATCATTATTGCATACGATAATATGAACGTAAGGTCAAGGGTGTACTTGATAGTAAGTTAGTAACTCTTTGATCATGATACCAACCCCGATACTCTCAGATCTTTGTGGTTGAGATCTTAACTTTGAATCTCATTAACCTAAGAACTAATATATCTATACCCAAGTTGATGTCCTAAGCTTAAGAGTGGTACCATTAATTAACAATAGATGATTTGTTTGAGCCACAAAAGCAAAGCACCTAAACTCAAAGTACTCCAACACTTGGAAAGTACCAACAAGAAGCCAACACGGTCACTTGGCTCAAAGCTACCCTCTTCACCTTTTGGATTAAAGAAATTTATGGGCATCATATGTGTTTGAAGCCTTCTTCATCATTCCTCATTGTTGCCCCTGAGGAGAGAAAAAGGCAAATGTTTTAAGTTGGGATGATATGGTTTTAAACTTAGAAGGGCACTCTGAAAAAGCTAGTTCTGCACGCATTAAGCCCTTTTGGATTGAGCGACGACACTGGGGACCAATTTTTCAAACAAAAAGATGTTGAAAGGGTGGTGGTGGTGATAGTTTAGTGGGTGGATTTTAATTTCTTCTCATTGTTGTGTATCGCTTTTGCTAGTTGGCCTAGCTTTTGTAACCATAAATTCAATGGGAAATGGAGACCTTAGGAGAAAAAGAAATACGGTTTTATTGCTGGATCTGGAAAAAGAAAGGCAGAGGTGAAAAGGAAGGGCCTGGGGGGGAAGTCAGGCTCTTTTTCCCTTGAAAAAAAAAATATTTTTTTTAGTGTAAAGTACAATATTTACTCTCATCTAACGAAAACAATTATATTTACTACCAAACTGAAAATGGGTCTAGATTAATTTGGTGCTTACTGCTTATACTTTGCTTCTTAAAATTGCGATCATGTTACGAGAACAGTAAGAAAATATATGCATAATAAGATTTGTGTGATGTGGTTGAAAAGCATAGGATTATTTTTCATTCATGCAATTAATTAAATTTTTGAAAGCTTTTGAACTTCCCGTCCATGGAGACTTTACATCCTATTTGGATGGACAAAAAACTCAAGGAATTGGAATTACATTTCCAATTCTATTTCATTATTTCATGTTTGGAATGGTAAGAATGTTGAGAAATGGAATTAGTGGGACATGGTTCATATTTATTATTATTTTATCTCCACTATCTTATTCATCTCTTTCTCTCTCATTAGTATTTCATTTCTCAAGATAAAAAGAAATCTACTAAATAATTAATGATTGTTAACAGTACAATTCATTTCCATAGTTGTTAGAATTATGCCAAACACAAATATTGGAAATGAAATTCCATAAAAATTAGAATTGGGAATGAAAATCCATCTCCATTTCTTATGGAATTGTATCCAAACATGCCGTTAACATGGTAGGTTGATGAATCACAAGCAAAAACAAGAGAGCAAATGAACCCAAGAAATTTAAATAAAATTGTAACAACCCCCAAGAGCTATGGGTTATGGCCTACCTTTGTTGGCCATTTTCTAGGGGCAACGAGAAGACTCTTCCGTTCCTATCCAATTAAGTTGCCCAATATTCTTCATTTACCTAATCCCTTAATTTGGTGGCATTGAACCCACCAAAATAACCTAGACTACAAAATATGAAGCCCCCTTTTAGCTGAATGGAGGGGTCTCACAAAGTAAACCTCAGCTTTCAGGATCTAATTTTATTATTTTTCATGAATAAAGTGCTATTCGGATTTTTCAAATATGATAGTCAAAAGATGAGATTAAGTTTGAATAAAAAATCCAATAGTCAAAAGATGAGTTTAATTTTGAATTTAGGGTTAAGGTTAATAGTGTTCCCTGTACTTATTAACTTTTCTCATATTGACACCGTGATATTTTCTTTCACCCGCTACACTCCCAACTTTATTTTCTTAAGTGACAGTCATTTCAATCAAATTTGGCAAGATTTAACTTAATTTTTGAAACCTAATTAGCCAAATAAGCGACTTTAGCCACTGTGGATCTGCAGGGTCTGGCTCTGTGAGAACACCATTGATGAAGCCCAGCTTGTTCTTGGCAGCAAGAGCATTGTACATTCCTCGACTCCAATCGTTGTAGTTGATGGTAGTAAGTTTCTCACCAACCAAAAGCAAACCAGGTTGCTCAGAACCGTGTAAGAAAAATGGATCTTCCATTTAGTAAATGCTGTGAGGCTGTGGATTTGGTAATGGTGGTTGATTTTGTGGTTGTGGATCTTGTTGCCCATCGTGCTGAGCATTTTGATCCATGGCGGCGGCAGTGGGAAGAGAGCTAGGTTAGAGGCTCTGATACCATAACAACAATTGAAACCCTAAGGCTTGAGTTTCTCATTGATTCAGTGTTGGTTTATATATTACAGACTTGCATAAGAAAACAAGAAAGCAAAACCCAGTACATTTTGTTGGTTTGCTTGAAACAGAAACAAAAGCAGGCTTGGGAATAAAGCAAACGTGAACTGGAAAAGGAAGGAGAGGGAACGACATCGTTTCTCCAATACGCAGCACTCCATCAAGTGGATCGCCGATACGCAGCGCAGCCACAATTGAACTTCAATCTTCTTCCTCGTTGGCGGGTGGAGGAGCAACGGTCACATTGGAATCAAAAGGGGGTTTGAAACCCTTTGCTGTTAGCCCATGGATGTCTTTTCAATTTTTTTATATATTTTATTTCCAATCTTTAGGTTTCCTGTCATGTCAAACGTGGTTGATTATGCTAATCTTCATCTTATTACCATTCTAAAATACTCATCTTCATCATCACCTTCCCCAAATCTCATCATCTCATTCATATGCCCCGCAACATAGCAACCATGTGCCGTAAATATTATTGTCAGCACAAGCTAAGTTGCCAATCTAACTGTTAACAATAATTATAATACTAATAAATAAAATAAAAGCACACCAAATCAAACATCAATGCCGTTTCATCCATGTGCACCTCATGCTCACATAAACGCCACCCCATATTCTGTTGTGGTGAGTTCGGTTGCTCGGATTCTTTCACCTAGCTAGTTAGATCCATTTTCTTATATTTGTTCACATCTATTTTTTTATTGTGGCTCTGTTTGTAATGCTTTCAATGAATTTGAATGAATTAAATTTTGACATAAATAAAAAGCATAATTTGCATCTTTCCTAATAAAAAAAATTGCTTTCTTCAAATAATCGTCTATTTAAAGACAAAATACTACCCAAAAAAAAAAAAACAAAGAAACTTACAAATATAACAACATACATATGTATGATCAATCATGTACCCTAGTAAAAATAATGCCTTTTCAAAGCTAATCACACCCTGTAACTAACTAAAATCCTCCTAACGTTATCATCGTAACCGACATTTACATCGTAACTGACATTTACCACTTTTCCGTAAATACTTAACTCGCTCGCTTCGTACGAACCGCCTATCACAATGATTGAGTCTGACTTAATACGATCGATGGTCGAGATTGACGTCTGCTTAGAAGAAACTTCCTTCCTCGATCTACTATCACCAAAGAGAAGCCTTTCTGAGATTTACAAAATCGGGGTGTCGATCCAATTCAAGCATCCAACCACAACATTAGCCTGGAACCATTTGGGCAAACCTTGCAGTTTCAAATCCCTAAACCTCCCACTGTTGCCATCATAACAGACCAACACCCTGCTCTTGTACTCGAGAAGAATCTCCCCATTTTCCAGGACGCACAAAACCCTGACCCTCCCGCTAAGGGCAGTCCTCCAAATCTTGTAGGACCTCTCAACGTTCTGTTTCAGTCCCTTGGGCATGTAAGCCCCAATGCTCAGCTCCTTCACCCACGATTCCTTCTCATTGTACTCTTTCATCACCCAAATCTCCAACCTCCCGTAGTTGCAATAAACCGCCGCTCCGAGGCAGTCCCTGACTGCGATGAGCGAGAGATTGCAGCGGTTCAATCCGCCACAATCCGGTTTAGGCACTTCCCTGAACTGCTCGTCCCCCAAATCGAACGAAATTAGGCGTCGGACCGGGTTGCACCGCCTGGGTCGAGTCACCCAATGGAGCCGACCGTTCACCAGAGCCTCGCCCGGTTTGCTGCCAAGGAAGTGGTGAGAGACTTTGGGCTGTGTTCTCCACCCTGATTGAGAACCAAGAGTCAGAATTTGGACATCGGACATCATCCTCCGCGACCCGACAGGTCGACCCGATCCACTGGACCGGCGGCCCCTGCCCCGGTAGTACACTATTTTGATGACCTTGTACTCCTTGGTCCGTGGATGAAACCCGAACCCAAATGCAACCTCTTGGCCGGCGTAGTGCTCCGATTTGGGGAGCTGGGTGAATTTCCCGGCGAACGGGTTGTAGACGTAGAGCGCATCGCCATAGAGCGAATCGGAGAGGCAGAGCAGGCCGTTGCAGGAACCGATTACCTCGAATTCGGACATGGATGGCCAGAAAGGTACTTGAATTCTCCTCACCCTGCTGTCCTCGGCGGCCAAATCGGCAAAGTAGATCTGGTTCCGGATGGGGAAGTCGCAGTGGAGGAGGAGGCAGGGAGCGGCGCGGCGGAGGGACAGAGCTACGAGTTCAGGGTCGACGGCAAGGACGCGCCAGGAGCGGCAGACGGAACGGAATTGGACCAATGAAGTGATGGGCAGGCGGGAAAGTATGTCCTGTACGATCTCCGTCGGTAGGAGGTCCATCGGAGTGGCCGCCGGCGGCAGGGAAGGAGCGTCGTCGTCGGTCTTCCGTCGCTTGGTGCAGTTGAAATCCATGGTTACTGAATTCCCCTGTTTTTCGGTAGCTCTACCAAGAAGAGGTAACCATGGATGGAAATCTCTTTAGAGGAGGAGAATGATTCATTTGAGACGGAAACCAGAGGGAGGAGGAGTAGAAGAATGGAGATGGGAGTGGGAACCCACCCACCATCTTTGAATAACTTCTTGCTTCTTTGGCCTTTAGTATAAAATTTATGGAAAAGGAATTATCAAAAAACAAAAGAAATTTATGGGAAAGGAAGAAGAAAAGGGAAGGGAGAATTTTTTTCTTCCTTTTTTACCACTTTTCATCAAATGATCGCTTACTAACTAGCCTATATCATATTTGGTTAAGAAATTTGTAGATGCAAATCTAATAGTTTATGATAAATTTGTTCTTTCTGGATGGCAATTTCAAAACTCAAATTAAAAAGGAAGGCAGTACCAGATTAATAACGAGTGGTATGGTATACAAAAAAAAAATTCGAAATATATTGAAAATGAATTTCACTATGTAGATCATATAAACTCGTTTAATTTGTGCAAAGTAAATTTAAACCCAAGTTAAAATAAAGAAAATAAAATCCCATTAAAATATAAATAAAAAAGTCATTTAATCTCACTTCTTATATCCAATTCCATTTAAAAGCAGGAGTCTGGACCTAGTTATGTAAAACTTATGTAACTCATGATTTTGCACTCTATCTTGAACCTTGTTGAAAATTGGAATAGTATAACCTATAAGGTAAATATTTATTTTTCTTAGTTATAAAATGAGAACATCTTTTTTAAGTAGCCATGCCTAATCTCAAGTAATGATACAAAATGAATTTAATAGTTAAAAATATTAAGGATGGTAGTTGAGAAGAGTAATTTTTATTTTTTTATCAAATTTAATATTTGAGCATTTTACGAATTGATTGGGTACATCCAAATCAAAAGGCATATAAATAATAATGAAATTCCAATAGATATGAAGAACTTATGAATCCCATTCCTTGTCGATGGGTGCATCAAACCCTACCACCTTGAAAGTGACCATCCAACACTTTTTTTCCTCCCCCTTTAATTTGTCTTCTTAGATCCATTTTCTCAAGTCATTGAATAACATCAACAATTTTGGTTCATTATCCCTTTAGCTTAAACCACTATTTTTATTATTTTTTCTTGCGAAATTAATTTCCAGGAAGACAGCTGTCCACCTAGGCTAGTATCTGTCCATTACCAAAAGACTTTTGTTTAAAACAGACTAGCAAGATGCTTGGAATCATCCCTGGGTGGAAGAAATAAAAATGTTACTTCTTCCCCCTCTTCACATGGGTCCCTGAAATTTTCATTTTGTCCTAGATCTATCCACAATTTTTTTTTTTAATAATGTGTGGTTACGTTAAGCAGAACTCAAAACTTTCTCTTAGAAAAAGAAGCAACTCAAATGAGATCTAGTATATTTTGTTTGTATCCATACTTTCCTTAAGCAAATGGGTATGAATGTGAGTTGTTAATGTACTCAAAATTACATTTTAAAGGAGAGAAAAGATAAAAGAGTTAGTTACACACGAATTCGAACACAACGATACTTAAAATTATTAGATAATGAGAAATAAATAATTAAATAAATAAAGTATGGAAGTTTAATTTTGTGGTTACTGGATACACTTTTGGTATAAGATATTGTAAGATTTACGGGAAAAGATATACATGAATTCTATATCAGAAAATAGGGGGAATGACATGAATATTCCTGAACTATGGGTTCAATAGAAGCTAGATCATCATGGTTTGATTTTACCCTAGTCATTTCCTCTCTCATTACAAGCTACAATACTTTCAAGATTTCCATGGTTCTTTAGTGTTCATTCGTGATTTATTGACACAATATATTATCACTATTTGGATTAAAGCGTTTATGAGAATTGAGTCATTGACTAGTGCATTAGTTATTCCAAATTTCGATAGTTAGTTGTTGTTCATGTGATCATCCGTTGGTAAAGTAGTGCTTCCTGCATGATGTCTTTGGCCATCATCACTTTTGGGGTTCGATTCGTTGCAAATTGCAGTTCAGCTAGTGATGGCAATGGGGTGGGTTGGGGCGGGTACTTCAATATTCATGCCCCGTCTTACGCTACTACGGGTCTGGGCGGGTAAAACCCGCGCGGGTACGGGCCGAGTCGGGTCGACCCACTCTCGCATGTTATTTCAGAAAAATACACGCAAATTTTACTTTTTACGATAAAACAAAGGGGAAAACACTTTACGAATGAAAAATAGTGATAATAGAAGGAGTAATTGAGTCTAAACAGTTGAAAGATCGACTCTAACTAGTTGAAGAAAAGTCAAAATAGGAGAAATATGTATAGATATTGTAAAAAATTGAGGTAGAATGAGCCAAGAGCGGGGCAGGGCGGGTTGGAAGTAGATACCCATGCCCCATCTCATGCTAGTGCGGGTCGGGTAATACCCGCCAAATCGCGGATCAGGTCGAATAATACCCGTGGGACGGGTTCAAATTGCCATCCCTAATTGTTCAGCAGAATGACAAAACTAATCATTCTAGGAATAAAAATAAGAAAAGATGAAAAACTTGTGGGTAAACAAAATCCAACGGCCACAATGACAGCATCATTCTAAATAAATACTTCGATCAGCTTCAATCATCTCCTTAACGCATCTCATAATTATAAAGAAACTCCTTATCGTATCTCTTAAGGATATATGTTATTAGAGAATATTATCCAAGGAAAGCAATTACCGTACGGCTTAAATTTGTGGTTAGTACAATAAAGAAAAGATGTGATTAATAGTAGACAATATCTAAGCAATCAGCCAATCACCAATTTAGCAGTCCCTACAAACAAAATAGTCAGTCTAGTCCGTTCGCTTGAGCCCGGTCACAATATTGGGGTAGAAGATGAACAAGTCCAAAGGAGCCCATGAGACAATGGGCTTGACCCCTCGCTGTGATGACAATAGACGACGTAGGCTCGCCTGCTTTAGTTTTGGACATGTTGATTCAAGCTCAGAAACGTATAGAGCTAGCTCGGAGGAGATTGTGAGGCGGTTCAAATGGTTATTATGCTAATTAAAAAAATGAATTAACTTGTAAATTTTAGGATTGAACCTATATACGAGCTTCACTCGAAGTTTGCTCCACAACGTCTTCCAGAAATAGCTCAAGAACTTTCCATCTCGATCATACACTATGGTACGTGGCATTCCATGCAATCTCACGGTCTCTTTGAAGACCATATCCAACACATTGATTGCATAATCAGTTTTATGGCATAGAATGAAGTGTTCAATCTTCAAGAAACAATCCACCACCACAAATATTGAATCCCGGCCTCTTCTAGTTCTCGGCAATTCTAGCACAAAATCCATATAGATATGTTGACCCAAGGTGCATAAGGAATAGGTAGTGGCATGTACAGTCCAGATGATTGTACCTTCGACTTAGCTTGTTTGCACAGTCCACGCATCTAGCACAAGTTCTCCACGTTGCTTTTAATGTGAGGTCAAAGAAAGTGCTCTTGCAAACAACTCAATGTCTTGCCTACACTAAAGTGAGCCATCAATCCGCCTCCATGAGCCTCCTTCAACGATAGTTGTCGAAGTAATGTTCTTGGTATACATAATTGATTACCACGAAGGAGACATCCATCACTTCTGTAGAACTTTCTCTCTCCATGCTTCTCACAAGCCTTGTAGATCTCTCCAAGTCTTCACATGGCAATGTTGACAAAATGTCGCCAAATTAGCAAAAGTCCTTAGTCTAGTGAGCATGGAAGATGACCAGTTAAATTTTTTTAAGAAATTGGTCATTTTGTGTATTCCAAAAAAATAGCTATTATTGTGTTGTATAAAGTATATATTTGCATTAATAAATTGCCATCTAACCAGCTTTCATGCCTCAGCTAATGAAAGACAAAATTGATGTCAATAGCGGCTATCGTATACCAATCACTAAACTAGTAAAAAAAACAAACAAACAAACGTCACCCTAATTAATTATATCGAGAATATATTTCGTTCTCCGCCAAGCAGAATGAACCGATTAAATCAAAGGCCGTTGAAGCCTTGAAATAGAACACAAATACTGGGAAAGCAAGGAGTCGGAATTAATCATCATGATGAGCAAAATTCTGTCTCTCCCTCGAGAAATCGTGGTGGACATAGTTTCAAGGCTGCCCATCTCATCCCTACTCCAAATCAAGCTTGTCTGCAAATCGTGGCGCCAACTTCTCCAAGACCCTCACCTTCCTTCCCTCCATTTCTCCCGCCTCAAAACTACTATGTCATCGGATCCATGCCTTATTCTGCACTCCAGGTATATATATCGCAAGATCTTCCGACGTTTTCTGCCACCAAAATAAATAGGCATAAGAAATAATACCATCGCTTTAAAAGTTAAGCGTACTTATTTATTTTGTTGTTTATGTTATTCTAATTCTTTCCTGAAGTAGTTCCAATATTCAAAAAAAAAAAAAAAAAAAAACATATATCTAAATATTCCCTCTTCTGTTTGAAATGGAGAGTTGGCTGCTGAATAATAATTTGATTAGCGGAAGCAAATCGCGGGACGGTGGGATATAGTACAGGGTAGATGATCTAACAAGTAGGGTTATTTTGGAATAAGGGAATAGACATTATAAAAATTGAATTTACGATTATGAATGATGGGAGTCATCATACGGTAATGGATTTTGAATTTTTTTTTTAATTTAATCATACCATTCGATACCACCTTCATACCATGTGGCATTACCTTCATTTTGAAGTCGATTTTGAACAATTTTGCACAGAGGGAACGAGCTCATCATGATCTATTGGATCTAGCAATTTTTCGGGGAAAAAATACAAGGTCAAAATATATCACCTCATACCACCCTAGTATATGATAGTATCTTGTGGTACACAATGTTGAAAGTTGTAAATGAAAGTTAGTATATTCACACTATTAATGTGAATATAATTCTGAAGTGCACAATTAATCTTATTTATCTGTGAAAAAATTAAATTCAGAATTAAAAATAAAGAAATATAGCGCATTAAAATTTAGAGAGAAACAAATTGTGATCATTCCATAAAAGGGTAATGTTTATTTTTTATCCAAACTTTTTCAGATTCTTTTATATTATCCAAATCTATTAAAAAATTCTATTAATTATCCAAATCTTTCATAATGCA